TTTTGTAAAAAAATTATATACACATGTGAACACATCTTAGTTATTGTGGCAAGTGAGTGGAATGTTGTGGGAAAGAACAGGCCAAAATCAATGAAAGAATTCCAGAACGGCTCCATGGGCTTGGGGGTTAAAGTGTGTGGATGGTAAGATCTGTGATACAGCTGTATACATGACCAGGTCCTGTCCTCGCTCAAAATCAAGTGCCAGGGAAATCGTACTGGAGCGCCACAGATTTTAATGAGGGACACACACACAGATGTTCTCCTTGGTACAGGGTTTTGGAGAGTGACGCATCATTAGTTGTTCACAACACAGCTTGAGGCTCCAGTGTCCAGCTCTCAGGAGAACCAGCCCTACAGAACATTTGGCAAAGTATTTAAAATTCCAGAGAATATAAATCTTAATTTAAAAAAAAATGTTGTAGGCTGGAGACCAAAGTGAGCTATTATACAATAATTACAATAAAATATATCTGAGTGATGTTAATTGTAATAAACAAACAACTAGTTTTCATTAGTATAAGAAGGAGCTAGCAATTAGTCAAGGACACATTAAATTAAGAAAACAGGTAAAAGTTTGTTAAAAAATAACACATTGGTCTGGTGTAAACAATATTAGTTAAGAAAGTCATTTTTTTTTACAGTTATAGTCTAAGTAAAAATGAACCAAAATGGACTAATTTGTTTAGACAGTCTTTCTTATCACTGTGGTGTAATTTATCACTAGTTGCCTCTGGCTTTCTTTAGAAGTTAGTTGTCTGGGGCTCATTTCCTTTATACACTGTCTCAAAAATAGAGATTTCCTAAAACATTATTAGAAAGCTCTTATTCAAGATGGCCACAGAGATTAACCTTAATTTCGGCCACAGTCTAATCTTATCTGAATTTGGTTCAATGATAGGACAACAGTCGTGTTTATAAAAAGGATCAAAGTTTTATGTTTAACCACCTTTAGAAACAAAGATATCAGCAGCATTTATTGCATTTTATTACAGAGGAAGGAAACAGGTACTCATCTCAGTACAGCACTAAAAACGCAGTTGGTGGAAATGCTTATTTCATGTATCTTTAAATCTATTCGGTTACTCAAATTGCTTGCAAAGGCTCAGAAACCTGGTGTCGTCCTCTTCAGCTCAACATAGTTTATATGAATTTTATGGGTTTATATAAGTGTTATAAGCTCTTAGGTAGAGTATTCTGTTAAAAATTAGTTGAGAAGGTAAATAGTTCTATAACAAAGACGTAAGTTAAACAGAAATAAGCTGATCTGGGGAAATTTCCAAGCAAGTGTAACTTGATCCTACACAAGGGCCAAGGTAGTTCAAAGAACACTGAAAAAGGCAGAAAGTAGATTCAACGCTTTTGTATTTCCCATGAATTCTGTGTCCATGCATACAAAAACAGTGGTTACATTGAGTTTGAGTAATGGATATGTTGAATTTGAATAATGGATATGTCATACGACATGTATTCATTTTTCCTTTTGTGGAGTGAGATCCTCAAAGCTGATATCCTAATTATTTTGTTGTGGTACTGTGATTAGTTAAATGGTTGCTGCACATTTTTTAAAGATTTTATTTATTTATTTTAGCGAGAAGGAAAGGAAAGGAGAAAGAAAGGGAGAGAAACATCTATGTGTAAGAGATACACAGAGCAGTTGCCTCTCACATCCCCCCAACCGAGGCCCTGGCCTGCAACCCAGGCATGTGCCCTAACGGGGAACTGAACCAGTGACCTCTTGGTTCACAGGGTGGCGCTCAATCCACTGAGCCACACCAGCCAGGGCGGTTGCGATACATTTTAAAGTCATGTTAATTATAACAACAAAAGGACTTATGTTTTAAAGGGTGTATTTCTTTAAATGTATAATTAGAAACGCATGTTAGCTGTTTTGGAAGTTTTCCTCAATGCCTGTTAAAATAAATGTTTTTGAAGCAGCAAGGTGTTAGATTAAAGAAACAGAGTGTTCTCTCCTGTCCCTGTTGCTGAGCACACCAACAACTCGCTAACAATACACCGGAACAAAATGCTGCTTCTGAGGACTTGACCAGCCTCTCCTGAGGAGTATGCGGAAATGGACCATCACAATGGTAACTTTTACTTTGAAAATTTTATTTGGGTTCAGAACTAAGGCTATTATTGGTATGGCATAAAGTTGGATTAAATGGAGTTTAACTTTTTGAGCTACAGAAAAACATGGGGAATAATCTGGAGCAAATACTTTTTCTCTCCTCAGACATTAGTCTTGGGCACAGTAACGTCTCATAACTTCCCAATCAGCATTTCTGGGATAATGTCAGATTTTGGACAATTACAAAAAACCAGACACAAATGTGCAAACCAGATTTCAATTTCTTCTCCACTGACATGAGATTTAAAACAGCAACAGGAACATTTCTAAGTCAATGTCAATATGTAGTCGCAAATTACCAAAGTAAGAAACAAATTGGAGTGCATGGGTGTGCGATTTTGTGTTTTGGCATGGGAGAGACATTGAAATATTCACAATGTACAAGCCAAATCATAAAAATAAAATGGGACTTATGATCCCATCATTTTGAAAAAAGTAGGATTTAGTTCTGACATCTTGCAGATTTGTGATATCCTGACTTTTGCTTCGAGAGTCCTAAATAATACAAATTTTAGAACATAAGAACAACTTCTTTTTTCTTTTCACAATGTTTGTAAGTGAAGCAATCCTGAAGAAAACTTAATTTCAACAAAAGAAAAACCATCTTAGACATATTTATAAACACAGAAAAACTAAAACTTACTGGGACACACACACAGATCTCATGTTATTTATCAGGGAGATGTGATGACCAATAACTAATTCCCAATCAAACATTTCCTCCTTAGTCTAATTTAAACACAGTTTACTGAGAACAAAGTTCACTAAGGAAGAAGAATATCATTACGCCATTTAAAGAAACTGTACACACTAAGTTTAAACAAAGTAGAAATTGGAAAATTGTTCCATAGCCTGTATGTAGGATCTAAAAAACAAAAAAAGCCTACAGTTGTCAATGCTTACTAGGATAAAATGTGTACCATTTCTGAAATTAAGAGTAAAGATCTCACTCTCACTTCTTGAGAATGTCTTATCTCAGAGTCACTGTGTTAATTTACAAATGGAAACTGCCTGCCTCTCTTTGGCATACTGTGTTTTTTATGACCACCATGGGTTATCTTTCTTCTAACAGACCATAGTCTGACTGGGTAATTTCATCGGAAAACTTTTATATTTGGCTAAGCCCTTATCTGGAGAATCCATATCCTAGTTAACTGAGCCCAATATACTCATCTCTCCAATCTCCATCCCTAAACACAACCCACTCAATACCTAAGTCAGTTTTTCTAAGTACAACACAATTTTCAAGTACACTGGTCTAATGTGTCACTTTAGGATGTATCCCTTATTTTTGGAATATATCCTGAAATGACAAATTCTTACAGATTCTTTGGCTTATCCTGAGGTTAGAGTTCTCTGACCCATCACAGAGACTGTTGATGGGAACCAGGCCAAAATTCTCTGCCCTTTGTCCTTTCAAATTCAAAGTCTGCCTAGGAAGGGGTAAATAAAACTATTTCTTATTATTTGGTACTAATATTTTACTGTATCAAATAATTGACATGGAAATTGCTGTGCTATGTTATTTTTCATTTGTACTTCAAGGCATATAACAGTTTATAACAAACATGCACATGATTACAAAACTTTACTAAAATTTTTAAAATACTTGTAATATTTCCTTATTTCTTAAAGGTAATTTTCTTGATTCTATAAGATACTTATAAGACATCTTATGAATACAGAACTTGAGTAAAATTATTTATTTACATTGTTAATCAGAATAAAATTCCAATCCCTCAAGCATGAGAACTATACATTACATCTCTAATGCAAAGTCATACCTAAAAATCCCTGAACTGTGTGGCAGATGCTTGTTAGGTATTTTTATTCACTTTTACTCAATCCTCAAAAGTAACCCCATGAAACACTGATTGCTATCTCTATTTTAGAGGAGGAAGTGCAGCTTTGGTGAGGGCATTAACTCACAAGAATGCAGAGTTGGTAGGGATTTATTTAATGCTACGTCTGACTGACAAGCAGAAGCCTAGGCTTCTGCTCTTCTGATCACATCACGATGCATCACAAAAACATGGAGACCGCCTTCTGTAACATCGATGTCAATGAGCTTTGAGACGGTGAATACAGTTCTTTTGCCACTAGATGTCATCTCAAAAACATTTAAATTTCTTGATAAGAATGGTGAAAATTCATAAAAGGCAAAGGCTGTTAAAAGGCATTAAATGGTAAGTCATTTTCAAGTTAAGCTTTATCTCACATACCAGGTGTTTTAAGAACTCGGAGGTGTATAGTCGAAAGTAATTTGCATGTAGTAAATAGTGTTGAGCAACATAATCACATTTTTTAAGAAATTAAATTTTTTATATTAAATTGAACAATAATCGTTAATTCCTGAAAAAGTTCTAAAATTCCTACACATAACAGATTGCTAAAAAAATGCATGCACACACCGCTTCCAGAGAAATAGTGAAAGACCCTTTCACCCTTTTGCAAATATTTGTCCCTGAGAATTAAGAAAACAGCATATTTTTAAAGTATAAAGCAAGGGTGTCAAACTCATTTTCACTGGGGAGCACACCAGCCTCGTGGTTGCCTTCAAAGGGCTGAATGCAAAGCTCCTTGCCCCTAGTTAAGGAGTAGTTACATTTATACAGTCCTAAAATTATATTTCGGCCCTTGAAGGCAACTGTGAGGCTGATATGCCCTCTGGTGAAAATGAGTTTGACACCCCTGGTATGGAGGATAGGCTATACTTTGGATAATCCTGTGATAAATTCAAAAGCATTATGTTTCCTTAGTCATCTCTTTTCTGGAGCTTCTGAGTCAACTACAATCTTAGATGATTAAAACACACACACACACACACACACACACACACACACACGTACACAGTAAACAGAGTAGAAAAATAACATTTCAAACCGCTGACATTTTATTTAACAAAAACAACTGGGACATTTCTAGAGCTTATAGAGTATTTGATATAAAAATAAGGCATCCTCCAGAATATATACGAAAAATACAAAGCTCATGGATCTAAACTAGACAGAAAATTTATTTTACATCTCAGTTACCCAGAACGACAGCTTATGGTCTCCTCCAACTACACACAGTGGGAGAGTTCTATGCCAGGAAAGGCCAGATCCAACGGCAACAGAACCAATGAGGATGGGCTATAAAATAAGTAAAAAAATTAAAGAAGCCAATAAATCACCAAAGTTAATATGCAGAATTAAAAAATATGCTCCCTCATAGGGGAAATATGCATTATTTGCTTGTGGCTGGCTGGAATGAAGTACACAAATAATCTATGAATAAGTGCTACAGCCCAGAGTCAAATATTTTTGCAGCCTAAACCAACTAAGGAAGCAAAATTATTATATTTAAGTGAAGAAGAAAATACAACAAAAGAAATAAAATGCTTCTTATATGAGTATTGACAAAAAGTCCATTACCATTGGTGATTTAAACCAGAAAGCAAAAAATGCCTTCTCTTTCCAATTTAATCAGATAACAGACATTCATAAGTATCTTTAGCTACACATTACAAATTCAGGGGCTATAAGTGGAAAAGTAAAAAGCACACATTTAAAAACATATGCCACAAAACATCTCCACATTACCTGAGGGTGTCCTAAATGATGAATTTGGAACTGGCTTGCCATTTTGCCAGGATAACCAGTGGTTGCAAACAAGTATTCATTAATTGTGGACCACCTAAGGAAAAAAAGGGTAAAAATAAGTATAGCATCTTATAGATAACTATAAACTTTTCTGAAATAGGTTATTTCTTTTTTGCACAAAATAATTTTATAACACTAAATTTGTTAATATGCCTTTAAAACTGGACTGGGAATTCCAGGGAAGTTAACTGTATTTTCTCATTCTGTGAATGTTTATTAAATGCTTATTGTGTGCCACTTAGTTAAGTTCCAAAGTTACACGAGTTTAGCAGTTCCTTTTTTATAACCAAAGGGCTGTGTGGTAGGATACACAAACAAGGCATCAGACAGACATACAATATTCCACAGTACAATACACTAAAAAAACACATTTAATGTGGGATGAGGCTATGATGCCTGGAACTCTGGAGGCTGTCTTATCACTGTGAAGCAACAAGCCCAAAGCCTTGTCACTGAAGATGATGGAGGGCAAGCTCTGAACTCTTGATGACACTGGTGAGCTACTAAACCAATCCTGAGACTGCCTCCTCCCGACTTCCTGTTAAGTGCCATAGTTCATTGATTTTAAAATGTATATTTGCTCACATCTGTGAAATCAGGATGTATCTTATAGTCTATGCCATTCTTATACTTAATTGGATATAATATTAGATTTGATGTAATACAGCATATAATAAATGTTCTACTGGTTTGAGACTCTATTAGTAAGTCTTCCTGTTATCTGAAGCTGAAAGCACCCTAAAGACTATACAGTGCAATGGAATATTGTGCAAAAATGAATGAAAAACAACGGGGTAGATGTGTATGTTAATTTAAGTGAAAAAAAAAGAGCAAGTTGCAGAAATATAATATCTAGCATGTTCTCATTTAGCACCAAATAGTTTATATGTATAAATATTGGTCCACCTACATTTTATATCTTTATCAGTACAAAAATAATAAAGCATATGCTCCAGATTGTGGGGGTGGTATTCATACAGTGGCAATGTATTTTGTGTTTTTAAAAAATGTTTAAAAAACAGTGGAAAACAAATCACTCCTCTGCCTAAGCCAAAAGAAAAGCAAAAGCTTAGGTAAACAAAATAGCCATTTATAAAAATATCAAGAAAAATACACAACCCCCAAACATCCAAACAAACAAAAACCCAGAGCAAAGGAGAGGTCTGGGCAAGTATTCCCGGTGGTATTACAGCATGAACAAAGTAATATCAAAAAATCAAATTTTACTCCAACATTACCTAAAGATGCAGGCTCGATCCATGTGGACAGGTCTCTTAACTTGAGGGTAACTAAAAGAGAGAATTTTTGATTTTATGAATTCTGTAGTAATCTCAAGTAGCACAAATTAAATTATGGCTTAAAAGGTATATTCTTTTTAAAAGATACAATATCCAATATACTTAAAGTATGACAAAATTCCAAATAAGCACTGGATTAAAATAGATGAAATATGATGAAGATGTAAGTATGGTGTAGAACCATTAGAAAACATGATCATTTAACAGGGTCAGTGTTTTTCTTCTTCTTTTTAACATTAGTAAACATCACTCAGATCAAAGATTTCCTCCTCTGTACTGCTGTTTTTGGGTCATACTCAAAGCAAACCTGCAAAGCACAGATGCCCATCTCTGTTATCTAAAACCATAGCTCTGGCCCTTCCGCAGGACAGACTTGCTTTGCTCTGTAGAAGGGGTGTCAAACTCATTTGCATTGGGGGCCACATCAGCCTTGCAGTTGACTTCAAAGGGCCGAATGTAATTTTAGGACTGTATAAATGTAAATACTCCTTAACAGTTAAGCCAGAGTTTGGCGCCACCGCCAGGTAGAAACAAAGTGCTGGACCAGATAAAACCAGGTGGAGGGCCAGGTTCAGCCCGCCAGCCTTGTGTTTGCCACCTGTGCTCTAGAGTGAGGGTCAGGTACACGCAAATGGCTCAATGAATCATTTGATAGTGACTGATTTTGGGTAAGCAATAAAAGTACTAAGAAGGTACCTGGAACGAGTGATATCCCAAATTAACCAGTCATTTCCTGCAACAGCTCCAACTTTGAAGGTGTTTTTTAAGCACCAGTGTGCTGACATTAATGGCATCTGTTCTGATTCAAGAGATAAAATAGCCTGTTGGGCTGTAAGATCATAAAATCGGATTGTTCCATTCTTCTCGGCAACCATCAGCTGCAAGACAGAAAAATACAGAAAATCCAACCACCTAATTCACCAAATTTGAGAAGTAGCAGAGATTCAATTTATGTAGTAAAATTTCAACATTTGCATACATTATAAATGGAAGATCAAATGCAAAGGAAGTAAAAAAGATTTTGTAAAACTTTTGATCAAATATATAAAAAGAACCTTACAGAAAATTGGCAAAAGAAAGACTCAAGAAGATTGGGCACAGTTTTAAATGATGTATGGTCCTCAGAAATAAGTTAGCTTAAGCACTCATTCTGGGAAAAGTTACTGTTAGGTTATATTGCTTAGAAAGGATAGATGAGTGTGTGTTTAGCAAAACAGATATATTTATGTGTTACACATCCCTATGCAATGTAAGTTTGCTTCCAGAATGGAAGGCAGCATAGCATGGTACAGTAAAGAGCACAGACAGGCCAAGTGAGCAAGACTATATCCTCCACTTAAAAGGTGAATAACTTGGCCAAGTTACAAGGCTTTGATTGGAGGCTTCCTCATTTCTAAAGTGGTTATGTGAGGATGAGAGTAGCTACAGCATTGCTGTGATGATTCAATGAGTAATGTGTGTAAAGCACCTAGTACAATGCTTGACACATAGCAGCCACTCACTCAATCCATAATAGTTACTATTACTTCCATGTTCCCTTCATTCTAAAATACTACTGATTTAAGATGTTTAATTAATCATTTTTTTCCTCCTTTCTCCTCCCTAAGAAATACTTTATCAAATGCACAAAATAATTATAAGATGGTATGAGTTAATACACGGCATTTAGAATTGTTTTGACACAGAGTAGGTACTCAAAGAACACGAGCTTTTATTACAGGTTGAAGTCAGACTGAAAACAGTTCTAGCTAAAAAATAATTTTTTTGTTATTTACTATTTCTAAAACTGTGCTCAATTGTGATAACAGATTTTGTTGTTGTTGTTAGAGCAGATAGATTTGAAAAGTTAAGTTTGGAAACTGGTGGATTTAAAAATGTTACAGGGGAGTTTTTTTCCTTTAGGGCTTCTCAGAACCATAAAGAGTAATATGCACTGAATTTCACGGGTGAACTAGATTGAGGTCAAATCTGTGACTCTGTGATCTTGTGAAAATTACTTAAAAACCTTCTGGTGTTTCAGTTTTCTTATCTACAGAATGGATAGGATAATATTGCCAACTTCAGAATGTTTTGTGACAATTACGCGAGAGAACACATGCAAAGCACACAGCACGGTTCCTGGCACTGAGGAAGCATTCAACAATTGTTGATCGTTCCGCCTCATTTCACTTAGTGGCTCTCTAACCTCTTTTCTCTTAGGGTCAGAAACCGAAATATCCTGAGTTCCAATTCTCTAATCCCATGACATCCTAAACTGTTGGTTCTGTTACCACTGCCTCCTGAAATCCAAGCTCCAACTCTGGTTTATTGAATTTAAAAGCTGAGTTTCTGGATATCTTGTGACTTTTATATCTTTTACCATTAAATACTTGCATTTGCTTTGTGCTTTCCAGATTATATGACTCTTTTGTATCTCATATGATTTTCGTAAGAATTCTATGAGATAGATAACCACGGACCCTTCTTTTTCTTTCTTCTCTGGCTGCCTTATTTTCATCAAGACCAAGTACAACAGAACAAAAATTCTGGGTGCGATCTGCTATGGGAGACCACTAAGAACCACTCAATTGTATTAATAGCAATGATAACATCAACAATGACAAGGAGCTAAAATCAATTGAATGCTTAGTATGTGACAGGTTCTCTTTTAAGGGTTTTAGAAGTGTTCACACATTTCATCTTCATGAGCTTCCATTTTATGAGATGAGAAAGTGAAAGCAGTGATTGAGAGAACTTCTGTACTTTGCCAGACATCACACAGTCAGTAAGTGGTGAACTGGGATTTGACTGCGGGCAGTGAGCTCAGGAGTGCATACTCTTAACCACATCTGTGCCATCTTTCTACGTTAGGTTTTTGAGTTTAGCAGTGGTGTGTGACACTGGTATTTCAAGATGAGTCCAACTACGGTAGACCAGAAGAGCCAACAGGGGAGAGCCGAAGACTTGAGAGGCAAGCTAAGGCTTAGCAGAGAGGTGCTTGTGAGAGCAGAAAGGTGAAGGATGCACCTTAATGACAGAGAAGAACGGATTCTAGTGACAGTGAAGGGAAAATTAAAAGACCTAAAAATATTTGCATTATAGAGAAGAAACATATCACAATTAGTTTTAGGATATTTAGTACCAATTTAGAGCAGGGGCTTCTAAACATTCTGAAGTCATGGAAACAATGAAAAAGAGATGAGGTGGGGTGAAATTTTAATGATATACAGGGATAGGCAAAAGTAGGGTTACAGTTCTGAGTACACAAAACACAGGGTTAATTACTGTATTATTATTTATTAATCACTGTATTATTTTCCATATGAACAACTATAAACCTACTTTTGCCCACCCCTATGGAAGAAAAACAAAAATTAAAGCATATAGAAAAAATGAATCTGAAATATTCATAATTAAGCATTAAAATGTTTTAGAATAGAAGTTGTAATAAACATTCTCATTTGTCACGTAGGTCACTGTTTTTTAAAATTAGCTTATTTTATTTGTAAATGGAGATATGAGCTTTTTGGTAGAATCACTAATTATGCTTCAAGGAGACTCATTCCTACAAGGGAGAAATCTAGGACCTGGATTCAGAAATTATACATGGACATAACCCTTGCATACGTAAAGTGAATAAACTAAATACCACTCATGCACATACAGAGTATAATTTGACTGATGAAAGATCCAACAGGCCTGAAATAAGTGTTCAGGGCACCCCAGGGCGCCTCCGCTTGGGATTACCTTCTCTGTGAAGGCTGTGAGCAGACCTGAGTAATCTGTCTTTACATCATCATTGCACTTACTAGGTTGTTTTGATTCCAACACTTAAAATCTGTGCTGCTATATTTACATATTTTTCTTCCTCTAGGTCAGTGTGTAACTTAGCCACTAGGGTTTAATTCATTCCTTTAGCCTCCCTTACAGTAAAGGGTACAGTGTAGGTGAGAACTACCCCTTGCAACAATTCACAAATACAGGGGGAAAGAAGGATTGGCAGAGGAGAAAAAGGGAAGATGCATGGAAAGATGCTCAAGAGAACTGGAATAATGCAGCTTAAAGGTAAGTGAGCTGTGTTTCAAAACAGAAGTCAGTGTGAAAAGCTGCCTTGAGATTCAGAAAGGAAAACCAACTGGAGTTGTTAAAAACATCACCAATGACTCCTGAGAGAATCATGGAGACTGAATGAGATTACAGAGCTAGACCAAGAAATGGGGAAAAAGGAACTGAAATTAAGGGCTCAAACATTTAGAAATATAAGGTGTGAAGAAGAAAGACTGAAATTAAATGGGGACACGGAGAACTGTAATGGTTAAGAGAAAACACTACGGAGCAGGCTGCTTGGGTTCAAATGCCAATTCTTCCAGGTAGTAGCTGTGTGACCTTGGCCAAGCTACTTAACATCTCTAAACTTTGGCTTCCTTATCTGTAATATGAGGCTCTCATCACAGTACCAGTCTCCTTAGGTTGCCATGAGGATTAAATGAGCTGCTACATGAACTGCTGCTACATTAAATGAGCTGCTAACATACATGAAATGCTACAATGGGCCAAATATATGTAAGTATTATGTATTTGTCATAATGAACCAAGCTTATCATTGTGTGCAAGTATGAGGAAAGAGTCAACGGAGAAGTATGAATACATTAGAGAGCTGTGAATGCAGAACATTTAAGAACTTTAAGAAGATGAACGATTCTAGGAAAAGATAAAACAGAGGGATGCCCAAGAGAAGATACTGGTGAATGAGAGAACTCTTATTGAATGACTCCCGTATTCTCAATGAAACGAAAGTTAAAGCCAAGTGATATTTTTAGAATTTAGAAAGCTCTACTTTGAACAGGAATTGAACATCACTGCAGTTGGGTCAAATTTGCCCTTAGGCCATTGATGCTTTCTGTTTATACACGATAGCTCACAAGCAAGGATTTAACTTTTTTTTTTTTTTAAAGAAATATTGCTACTAGATAGTCTGGGCATCAGTTTTTAGACCGTAATTTACCAAAGAGCAAGACAAGTATACTCTGAATAAATGCCATTTACAGATGATGGTTGTTAAATAAAATATATAGAACTTTTAAGGTACAGTTTTCTAGAGTAAATGCATGTGGGACAATCAGAATCCCTGGGGTGGAAAAAAGCCATTGACTTTTCTCCTCTACATGTGCATGTATTACACATGTGTATGTCCTTTCAGTTTGATAAAAGAAAGCTAAGTTATAAATAACAACCTTAAAAGTTTCCTCTGGATGCCAGCACACACTCATCCCTGGGGAATTAAGAACAAAGTGAGACGTCTGCATTCCTTCCAAGTTCCAAATCCTAAGAAAAGAAAAGAAGTATAATTTAAATATTTTTGATATATCATTACTAAAACAATAAGATTTCCATGAACTTATTCAAAGCTATAACTAAAGATTATAAAGTAGGTATTTATATTTAAAGTATATCATTAAAAATTATAATATAATTACCTTAGAAATTGTGAAAGTAGTATGAAGAATTTAACTTTCACCACACTGAATCACAGAAAAAGAGTCACATACATTCTCTCTTTAATTAATTTTTTAAATTACTTTTTCTTTTCTTAATTAATGTTGGGAACCGCCCTGACTGGTATCAGAGGCTGAAATCCCCGCCTAGGCTAAGGCTAAGGGAATGCCCTTGGAACCGTGAGCCAGCAAGGAGACAAAAGCTTATCTCCCTGGCAGGAATGCTGCTTCTGCTGCTGAACCCCCAAAAGCTTGGTCGGTTAGCCAAAGACGGGTAAGATTCCCCACAGGGGGGAACGACCCAAGCCAGGCACGATCACTTTGGGAGGCCCCCCCAAAGAAGGACTTGGGGGGGGGGCTGCAGCAAAGGGGGGTGATGGACCCTCACTCCTCGGCTTTGACAAAGTCTGAGTTCTCAGCGTCCAGAAGAAAATCTCCTTATCTCTCGGTGGCCTTAGTTCCCGTGCTCCACCTAAGCCTGAAACAATGACAGGGTAGTACAGCTCGGTACTGGGAAGTGCGGATTTCCTGGGGTGATCAGGCCTAAGAAAGAACATGTAAATTACTGTGAAACCTTCTTTGTTTAGAATGCTCTCAGTTGAATGAGAAGGGTCTTAGGAGGAAGTTAGTTTGTTCCTCAGTCTTACAGCTCTTTGACCCCCCAACTCAATAGACGGGCAGAGTTCTTTGTTTTCTATAGTTCCTTACTTCCCCTAATGAGTATTGTACTTTACCTGAGTTATTGTGTAGCATGAGCCCAATAAAAGCAGGTATGGACTGTAAATCGGCGCGCTCCCCACTAGGGGGGGGTGGCCATTCCGTCCCTACTTCCCCACAGAAACTAGTTTGTCTCTGTGCATGTGGTGTTTTTTCTCGCGTGTGTTTCGGCGAGCCATCCGCAGCGTTCCGTGGTCACTGCTGGCCGGTGACCCACGCGCAACAAATTAATCCTCACCCCAGGACATTTTTATTGATTTTTAGAGAGAAAGGGAGAAAGAAATATTGATGTGAGAGAAATTTTGATTGGTTGTCTCCCTTACATGCCCCAACTGGGAATAGAACCCACGACCTAGGTATATGTCCTGATCGGGGATCAAACTGGAAACATTTTGGTGCATGGGATGATGGTCCAACCAACTGACCCATCCAGCCTGGGCTCTCTTTAATTAATTTAATACAGCAACACGTGTAACCAAATTAAAGTATTCATGTACTCCTGATTTTGTGGGCAGAATCTTAAATCAGGTTGCATTCCTACATCAGTAGCCATTTTAATTAACAACAGTTTCTACCGAGAGTGCTTTACTTATGCACACGTATGCGCATGTGCACACACACACACAACTGGGGCTCCCATTTTCAAAATAACATATAAAGAAACTAGCATGAGGTGATGAGAATTTAGGGAGACAAGTAATTTCCCATGGTTGCTTATTCCTTTTGCCTTTGGGTTTTCATGTGAGGGACTAATTCCTTTATGGTTTTTGATCTGGCTTACTTCCCCAATTCTCTTTTGCAAAGGTGGCTTTGATTGACAGCTACCACATTAAAGGTGAGTTGAGGGAAAAAAACACCTGGTCCTCCCACTCTTTCCCAATACTTACAAATCCATAGTAACAAGGACCAAGCTCATCACTGACATGGCTTTCTAACTCAATTTCTTTCCCATCCTGAGTGGAGACCAGGACTCAGAAATCTCACTTTATTGTGAAGAAGTGCTATCTCCCACTGAGTCGGTTAGGTTTCTAGCTCATTCTTCACACTTAGCCACTATTACATCTCACTGGTACAGAGTGTGGCATAGAGTTAGCAAGGCAGGGGACAGAGGTTGGTGGGTGGTCGGCAAAGTGCCCCAGAATTCTGGACTTAAGAACTGCGTTCATCCCTTGGACTTTTTCTTTTAGGTTTTATAGTTCATATCTGATTAGGAAACAAAAAAAATTTCAACAAACTTAAAGAATACAAGGCCTGTCTGGAAAAAGCCCAGCTATTGTTAATATAATGAGAACAGTTTGAGCAACATGGATGTAACCTGGGAGCCAAGGAGAGTGGACTGGAAGGCGCATCACGAACAATGGAGACTTTGCTGTTCTAGTCAGTGGGGGCCGTAGACACCATTGAACATGTGTACTGTGTGGCCATCACATTCAAAATGACTGAGTGAGTAGAACAATGAATCTGCATCCAATTTTGCATTTCAGCGTGAGCGTTTCTCCACAGAAACTATTTGGATGATTCAGAAGGCCGCAGCTATGGGCAACTGGTGTTTGGCAGCTTCATCAGGACAATGCACCTGCTCATGTATCACATCTCATGCAGAATTTTTTGGCAAAACATCAAATCACCCAGGTGACTCAGCCCCCCATACTTCAGATTTGGTGCCTTGTGACTTCTGACCTTCAGTGAGATTCAGGAAAATACAACAGGGGCAACTGACAGTGATTGGGAGAACTGTGTGAGGTTACAAGGCACCTACTTTGACAGGGATGAGGCACCATTGTCCTGTGTACAATGTTTCTTGTATCTTGTGTCTTCTTCAATAAATGTCTTTATTGATCACAGCACATGGCTGGATACTTTCCAGACAAGCCTTGTATATCTTTAAAGTCTAGGCAAAAATTTATTTCAATGAAAGTAGACATAATTATTGAACAATGCTACTATTCTGTACCAAGCTACCTTAATTGAAATATTTTTCTGTCCTTGGAGAAATTACAGAGCTATCAATCTTGAAATATTATAGTAACATATAAACTAACATAAATGTTTTCAAAATGATTATTTACTTGATTAGATAATTTAGAAACATACTCTTTTCTCTTACCAAATCAATACTTTTCATCTGTATGTGCTATATAAGGGAGAGAATTACAATTTAACGGAAGAGGTAAATCACATTTACCAAGGGTTTATGCAATTATTTCACTCCCCACAATGAAAAGCTAATTAATTATGGCAACTGAATATTTCTTTCTTCTCCACTGCCTTTTGTATAATAAAGTGCTGGGCTAGTGTGCATTTACCCTGATTTAAATAGTAGGAATCTGTCTTGCAGATTGGGGAGTCCCATGAGGATATGGTTTAAAGGCTCCATTCTTTTGATCTTATTCTAATATGTATTTGATTTTTGGTTGCAATTATATAAATTGAATAAATACATACCAGAATACTTCCATGATTTTTTCCTTTCAAATAAAGGAAACCAAAGAGGTAGAAAATATGGATAAAGATATTGTATAAAAACAGGTCAATTAATGAAGTATATTCCTGTCCAATGAACCAATTTTTTTTCACAGTGTTTTATCCTGAATAGAACCAGATACTTTAAAAATAAAATTCAACTTAAAACGAGGAGGGTGATCCAGATTACTTTACAGGCCTAGAATAAAATGATTTATGGCTTATAATTACATGCTTATTAAATAATTCTCAGTGGTTGCATAATCCAACTACCAAGAATGCAAAATACAACAAATTGGTCTGAAATGAGTTATCATAACTAAATTAGCTACAGGTGGTACATTTTAAGTTGTTAAGCCTTATTTCCCTTTTTGATAGATTCCATAATTAAGCTCTTCTCAAATCTTCTTGTGGAGCTCAACTCATTTTTTTGTCTTTCCTACACAGCTCATCTAGTTAATATTAGTTCCATCAGAAAAAGTCACACTTCTTTTTTCAAATACTTTTTAAAGTATAACATATATAACAAACACACATAAATCTTAAGCATAAAGCTCAAAGAGAACACATTCAAAGAAAACAGTACACAATTTAAGAAACAAGCGTATTGCCATAACTCCAAAAGTCGTCTTGTGCTTCCTTCCCATCACACTGTCTTGCCCTCTCACAAAAGGCACCCACTGTTCTGACTTTTAACACTACAGCTTACTTATGCCTGTTTTTTTTTTAAGATTTTTTATTTATTTATTTTTAGAGAGGGAAGAGAGGGAGACAGAGAGAGAGAAACATCAATGTGTGGTTGCTGGAGGTCATGGCCTGCAACCCAGGCGTGTACCCTGACTGGGAATCAAACCTGCGACACTTTGGTTTGCAGCCTGCACTCAATCCACTGAGCTACGCCAGCCAGGGCTATGCCTGTTTTGAAGATCGTAAAAACAGAATCCTATGGTACATATTTTCTTGGTCTGGTATCTTTCACTCAACATTAGATTTTGTGAGATTTAGCAACATTGCTCCATGTTGTTGTATTACATTCAGTCTCATTGCTGTATGTAGTACTCCATTAGTTAAGTAAACTGTAATGTATTTATCCACACTACTGCTGATAAACATTTAAGCTGTTTCCAATTTGTGGTCATTACCTATGATGCTGCTATGAACCTTCTTGCACATCTTTTAGTGAATACAAACAATCACCACCCCCCTCTCTCACACACACAGACACCCACCCACCTGCTGGGTATATACTTAGGTGTGGAATTGCCGGATAGTAGTTTTCAAATACGTTCATCTTTAGCAGGTATTATCAAATAGATTTCAAATTGATTGTACCTCATTTTTCTTTTTTTTCTCATATTTCTTTTAAATTACCAACTAAAAAAGTTTAAAATTTAACACATTTTCTGACAAAAACAATCTTAAAACAATCATTTCTCTGACTGGTAAAAGGTATCGTTTTTCAGTTGGTCTTATTTATAAGGTACATTTCTCTAATCATCGCTTTTTTCTTGTATTTTACGTTATTTTAATGTATCTCTGTATGGGTAAATTTGCATCAGTTTTAAAATGTAGCAAAGACAATTTTTATAGTAGCTCTCTTAATTTAACTCCTGACATCCTTCCTTTGTCCCTCTGTAGAACTGATGAGAA